GAAGACTGGCCATTATTATATAAATATTAAAACAAAATAACTTCTGTTATACAACTGATGATTTATACTAATGCTTAGTGTTATTTCACGGAACCAGAGAACTTAAGGTATAGGAGAGGTAGGAACTTGAAGCATTGGTTCTTTTTTGTACAGTTTGGTTCATGTTCAGCTGTGGAAAGTACTATTGAAGCTTGGTACTTGTGTGGTGTTGGGGAACAAAAGCCAAAATTAGGTTGGGATTCCATTCAGGTTTCATTCAGATCAACGAAGTCTTTTCAGCAGGATGTTTCATGCTATTTATTTTATTCTGCTTTGAAATAAACAAAGGAGAGTGGCCTCAGGCCTGCTGGATTTCTTCTTTCTCTTTAACTGCAAGTACAATTTTTAGTCGTATCTTCAGCAGCAGAAAGGGGATGTAAAATTGAGGCTTCTGTTTGAACCTCTGCTTCGTACTTTGTCAGAGCCATGGTTCTGGTCTGGCATCTCAGGTGGTATCTGTATAAAACAGCTACTATCTGCAAAGAGCACTCTTGCAAAGAGACTGCCTGGCCTGGCCAGGCCATTGGTAGGGCCAGCTGCATAGAGAATGCAACTCTCTTATGCAAGCCTTGAATACTGTGTACTTCTGTTTTCCAAGGTTGTGCTGCATATCAACAGTGGATTACCACTACTGTGATGATTTAAATTGTAGAAATTATATCGGGAAGAATTGGTAGCCAGGATAGTTTTGAATTACCTTGTCTTGGTGGGAACAAAAATTTCATGTTTTGAATAAAGAGATGTACTGGTGTTTCTGCATGCAGTGAGGTATCAGTAAGCTTTAAAAAAAATCTCAATTTGACTGCAGTAAAGCCTGACATTTCTCTTTTTATTTCAAGAACATTTCTGATAGACTGCATTGGGAAAGGATTTTGATTGATTCTGTGGAATCTGCTTTGTCTTACTTCTGATGGCATTATGAGTGTAGTTATTTTGCTAAAGACATATAAAAACATACTTATATTTAAGAACATTTTTGTTTTGTTGTATTAATTCATATTTTGTGTTGTAAATAGCGTGTTATTTAGTATTCCAACACATATTCTGTTGAACCAATAACAGAGAACGAAGATAATTCCTGTCTAAAGAAGCTTAGGCTAAATGATATTGCTTTTTCCATATGTTTTGTACTATAAGAAAAATTACAGTGGAATATTTTTTGCTTGTGTCTTCTAGACTCTCAGCAGAGAGTTACAACACAGCATACAAGAGCTGAGAACAAAAATCAAAAAGGCAAAAAAAGTGGGCAAGATGAAAGCATGTAAAAACTGTCTTTCCCAAGAGTCTGTTCAGTTGGCAGCATCTATCCTTAATGTTTCAACAACTGATCTTGAGGAGATACTAGATGTAGAAGACGAGGAGGTAAGTTATTTTAAGGACATCAGTAAAACGGAGCTAGATGAGAAGATGCTGTATATTTCCATTCTTGAGGAAAAGGATTTCCAGGTAAAGACTGAAATTTCATTGGGCAGCATCTAGCACATAAATCACAGAACGATTTAATTTAAATAATAAGGTCAGGTTAGAGACTCATAAGGTGGCAAGACTTCAGGCATGCACAAATATAAACATACTGGTTTGAGCATGTGGATGTAGAGACAGTATTTTCCTTTTTCATGAGACTATTTGGCAGGGCTGTACATTATAAATAGACTTCCACATTAATGAAAACAAAATTAGAATGCGTCTTGCTGTGACAGATTGATTTCGTTGATGCTTCCTTTCTTGAATTGTGATACCTATTAAAGGTATTTCTGGTAGACAGATGGTTTCTGGGGAAATCCATTGCCTTTTTTTGTTGATTCTATCATACATTTTACTATGAAATATTTGATAGTGTTTCATCAAATCACCCTCTATTAAATAGATACAGTAATAGGATTTCTTATCCATATTTATTTAGGACTGATCAAATAATACATGAAAAAGCCCGTACAGTTGCTTTAATAAGTGTCTAGGAGTTGACCAATATTGGCCTGTAACAGTACTCTGGTGATGACTTAGATTCAATCTTATTGGAGCTTTATATTAAAGAAGCCACAAAAGAGAGTTTTCACGTTGGTTAAACAGCAGTGCGTGGTATGTGTATGCACTGATATGGATTACATTCATGAATACAAATATAATGGACTGATCCCTGCCCTCTTTACTAACATTTATACATATATGCCCTGTAAAGCGATTCTCTTTGGCAGAATTGTTCCACACTTACCTCATTCTCAGAGTAATTTCTACATCCTTTGTCTTTTGTTGTAGTCGCCACTGTGCATACATGTTAAAACACAAATTTACTCAACTATAAATAGAAAACAAATTTAAAGCACAGGTGATGAATTTGCACTACACATACACTACATATTCCATTTATCAGTGCATAGACTCAGGCACCATTATGTTGAACTCATAAAATTTAGACGTAGATCATACATAGACCTGTATATTCATATAAAGAGAGCGTGCCATGCACGTTTTTAGGGACATGCACAGACAAGGGTGGGTTTATAAATTTAACAGAGCACTGATACTTGGTGGATATGCTTCAGATAACTAATTTTGCAAGCATAGTTCCCACTTCCACATGCTTTTTATTTAATGTATACCCAATTACACATTTCCTTTATTGTTTCTTATGTGTTTCTATTTTTTAGGAAACAGCAAAGACAAAAATGGAATTTGAAAAAGATAAAGAATGGCTGCAGCGTATACAGAAACTTACGGAAGCACAGGTGCTCAATTTATATCTTCCCTTAATGAATTATAATTTTGTACTCTGAGTAGCTAAGTGGTTTTAGGTTGTAATTAATACATTGCATTTGTTATTATGTTACCATCGATGGTCCCAAACTATACTGTGATAAGGCAATGTGAAATCCTTGTTTCGTAGCATTTTGTTTTTATTTCTTTTAAAGGAAGAGTCACTGCATAAAACTGAAGAAATGTTACTCTAGGATTTGTGATAACTTAACAGCTGAAACCAGTGAAACAATGCTGGAGAAAACCAGCACAGATCTTGGCAAATGTTAATTGAATTATTGAAACAGTGTGTACTGCTTGCTAGAGTGAAAATGATCCATTCTCTCATACCTCTTAGGAAAAAGAGACTTTTTTTTATGTGCCTTTAAAGTTACTAGTTGTTATGGACACCTGAGGAGTTCATGGGTTTCGATGACCTTTTACTGCGGACCTGTTTCTAGTCAATTCATGTTTTCCTCATAGCCAGACAGCTGTTTATTATCGTGTCTTCTCGCATTCTCTACAATATTTTCTACTGAGACCTCGAGCAGCTTGTTAGTGGGAAGTAAATATTGATTTGGCATCCTGTCAATGCAGAAAGAATGAAAAAATTTCCACCAGAGGCCCCTCAAACATTTTCCTATCGACATTTTCTGGGCAGAGAGGAAAGCTGCATAGAGGATGACAAGTCTGAGACTAGTAGAAATCCCTGCGGGGTCCATTGAGACTGCTGCTGTGACCTGTGTGATACTTTTTCTTCTCTTTCAAGTCTTTTTTTTTAATACACACAGAATCTGCTGGGATGCTCCCCTCTTGTAAGTGATCAAGGGCAGTTTATTGGCAGGTGAGAGCCCAGCTTTTGTAGCCATAGTCAGTTTTTGTTTGGACATCACTGACAACATATACCGACTCTTGAAACTTTTCCATTATATTTTTAGTTGTCTCCTTTATTTAGATGATGGATAGCTGATGTCTGAAAGGAAATAAAATTTGATTTATAAATACAGTGTTCCTAATGCATATTCACTAGCATGGGTCCATTAGCGATGTAGTTAATAACAGTTAAGAATGCAAATGATTGAAAATATTTTGAAAGCCATTTCAGGGGAACATACACATCATACATTTTATCATGAACAGCTTTTGTGTCTAGATTGTATCTTGTGACCAGATTTTAAGAAATGACAGGTTTTCCCTCTTTCATTATCAAAACTTACTGCCATTAAGACTGCGTAATTGCTGCAGCAGAGGAGATGGAAATATCAGCGTGCTTTTACTGGCTTTGTCAGATATACTGGCATTTTAATTAAACCTCATGAAACTCAGCAGTAAAAGCACAATTATTCATATTCATTTAATTGCCTTAATTTTAAGAATTTTTTTCAAAATCTATACATTTCAAGATTTTGTACGTATTACGAGCTCTAAAGCAGGAATCAGATTTATGGAATATAATGAAGACTTCTTGCTCTATCTTTTGTTATCATTCTTTGGTAAATCAGTAAAAACTTCATAGCAGAATTTTATCACTTCTCTTTATCTGCTATAGACAGACAGCAAAAACCAGGGCATGGAGAGTGAAGGAATTATTGACTATGAAACAAGCTATATTAGGATTGCAGAGTCAACTAGGGATAGAAGAGCTCATTGCTCTTAGCTGTATAAGTTGTGTACAAGTAATTGTGATTTTCAGTGATTTTTGCTCCATCTTGTGGGTTCCTTAGGAGGAACACTGAGGGTGTAAGTAATTTTGTGGCAAGCAGCCCATTTTTAGAATTGTGAGAGGATTATAGTGCTTTTTAGGAGCAGCCAGCTGTGCTTTTCATTTCTGTACATGTTAAGGCACATAGATGGAAATTGTTAAGATTTATTCCTCTGTATTTGGGAGCAGCTCATGGAAAAGCTCTATGCCCTTTAAAATGCTTTACTCGTATCTTGTAGAGCTTGGTTGTGGTTTCTTTTAGTAAGCTTTGGTAATTCTTCTGATCAGAAAACTAAAACTCATGCTGAAATGTAAGCTTTCTGTCAGACTTTGCTCATAACAGACTGGCTACTTAGTGTTACATGTTGGCAAACTGTGTGCCATTTGCAATCTTGAACAAAGATGCAGGATTGCCCTTTTCTATTTTTCTGAGTAAAGGTTCTGTTGAAAAGTGCATCAGATCTCCTAACACTGCAGTTTGATATAGTGTCTATTTGTGCCATTGAGCCAGGACTTTGGAACATAATTGCCCAGCAGTATTGATTTAATTGCCTAGGTTTATTTGTGGACTCCTAATTATTGACTGGAGGTAAATTTAATGGAGAAACTTTTATGAACACTGGGAAACTGCTGCTATTGCTGTTATACATAATGAACTGCATCATATCCCTTTAGATCATTCTTCAAACTAATTTTATTCCGCTGTGACAGTACGATAACATTTAAAATGTCATAGACGTTTTATTTTTATTACTGACATACGCCATTTTACTGCTGCATTAGAATTTTGGGGGGGACTGAGGGAAGCACTAGTTGCTTTTTACTGTCATTTTATAGATTTTCCTGAAGTGTAATGATAAAGGATAGCACACCTCTATTTTCACTTCATCTGTACCTTTATTTTCCATGCTCTTATGACTTGAAAATGTCTAATATCCGTCAGCTTTACAAGAATATTAATATTTTAGTGATAAATATTTTTGCATTCCTGACACTCACAGGCACCAGTCAGAGTTTGTGTCTTTATTTTGTCGACTACTATAGAAACACATGTCAAGAAATTATACCACTGCTAAGAAGCTTATGATTTGGAAGAGACATCTCTACATTGGGATGTTATTACGTAAATACAGATCATATAATATGAAAGTACAGTCATGTTATGAATTTGGCAGAGCTGGGAAAAATCACTTACTGTCTAAATCTACGTTTGAATGGCCAAGAAGTGGGGTTTTTCTGTTGCTTTTCTGTATTTATATGGTAATACCCTAGAGTGTTTTCACTAAAGAATAAAAATAAATCATCTTAATAATTGCCATTAGGATAAAAAGAAAATGGTTCGCTTGCCTATGAAGAACCTGAATGTAGAGAGGTTTCACATGAGTGCATGCAGATAGCTGCTACCTGAATATGAGTAGAGGCATCAGACTCATTATGCATTACTATTTGAGCTCAGGAGAAGTTGGGAGAGGTATGACAATATAGACTTTTGAGCTTTCAATGGTTTATGGTATCTGGGAGGGAACAAATATGGTTATCTCAATATGTTTGTGCGTTTACTGCTTGCAAGGCAAGTGGTGGGGCTTTTACCCACTTTATCCCTTACGTCTGTGTGTGTGTCTTATTAATTGAACAGCTCTCTCTTTTTACAAATATAAACACACACCCCAAAAATCCCCAAACAAAATAGCAGTCTTCTCTATTTTTTTCTCATCATAGGAAACTTACATAGCTAAAGCAAGAGGATGACTTTTATTTCATGTAACTTAAACATGATTTTTTATGCCACTCTCAGCTTTCAGTCATTGTGACTGATTGTAAGGAACATCATCTCAGAACAATCCATTAATAATTTCGTATGTGAGTACAGCATGTTAGCCCAACCCAGATTGCTGCCTGAAGTCTTCAAGAACTATTTTTTAGTAAAATGCAAACATCTATCTAACTTTTCCAAGCAGTGAAGCAAATGACAGCATTGATTTAGTATGTCCCTATGAGATCTGCTTGCCTTCTCTCGCTTCTCATGTACTCCTAGGGATATCACATAAACAAAGCTGCCTAGTAAAATCTTTACTCTTTTGACTTCATTATGAATCTAAATATCATATTCCAATGGTGAAAACTTCCACAAAGGCTCCCTTCCCTCTGTTCTGTGGGCATTCTGTAAGTATGTATGTAACCCATTTCTAGAACAGGTTTTGGAACAGTATGTTCACTAATCATCAGTAGGGATTTTCCCCAGCCCCTTTTTAGGATTTGCACTGGCTTCCCAATACAGATTTGTTTTGCTGTCATCTGGAAATGGACACCTACAGCTATGGTTGTTTCCTTTCAAATTCTTCCAGTTGGAACTCACCTGCTTTGCTTTCATTAGACTGTCTCCAGTCTGTCTTTTCTTTGAACAGGTCTCTACTCACTGCCTGTCCTCTGATCACACCCACATATTGACCCGTGCACAAGTAGCTGCACACACTCACCACTGCAACTCATCACCAGGTATTTCAAGTACCTACACCTTAAAAAGCAGCACCAGCGTAGTCTAAACCATATTGTGGGCACCACTGGCATTGACATCAGACCATCAGAAAGTAACCATGATTTTGTTCTCACTACAAGAGTAAGAACTTAGTCCTGTGCATTGACAGTCCACTGCAGTATAAATCTGTGTTTTATCAGATTGATGTAACAAAACCATGTTACATCACTTGTTCTGAACTGAAAACGAGGAGAAATTGGCTTGATTACTCAGAATAAGAATACAGATGGGCCCACACATCTTTATATAATCAGGTATATACAGTCATCACAAAGCAGAATAAGAACAAAGAAGTCAGGAACAACAATGAAGTGAAGCATTTCTCTAATTTATTTTTTTTTTAACTTTGACTTTTATTTTATGGTGAAATTAGGAGGCTTTGGTTATTGGTCTGAGTTTCTAGTTTTATTTCAAATTATTTTTTTGTGGTTCACTTACTTCAATTTAAATCAGCTCTGCAGTGCATTTGAATAGTTTTCTTGGGCAAGTGTATTATACTGATGATCCATATGGGGAGATTTAAAATAGTTGTAACCACTAATTTATGTACTCTAAAATTTAAATACCTTTATTTTTATGATAGCACATTTTAGATTTTGTAAAGCAGAAGACAAGTAATGCTACACTCTGCGAATGGAGACACTGTGTCTCATCAGAACAACAACGTTGCCTTGCATTCATTATAAGTCTTTTCATGGGCAAATATGTGTATATTTATACACTTGTGTTGAGGGAGACTCAGTCATGTGGTGTAAGGTCGATAAGTATTACTAGTTTGTTTTTCACAGAAGGGATATCCAAAAGAAGCAAACTTAAGGTCAGAATAAATAGGTGAGAGAAACAGAATTAACTGTCACCATTTCTGACTTTTTAGGATCATATTACCTTACATATATCCATACACCAAGGTATCTGTCTAATAAGTTGTGTAAGAAATATGCTTTTCATTCATACGGCTTTCTAGTATCAGAGAATAAATCTGTAAGTCTGGAAAGATGTATAAATAAATAAAATTCTTTAAATACACAGGTAGTGGATTTAAAGCTTGCGCTTTCAAATGTTGTGAAATGAAGTCAATTAAATACTGCTTCTCTTAAAGCCTACCATAATGTACTGATTTAGGATCACTGCCCATTCAGTTAGATGGATTGTGGCACAGATAATTATAAAGCATTTGAAAGAAGTACCATTGTGTATTAAAATATCTAACTGTCATGGTATAAACAAGTTTTGACTCTTTAGGTGTGCACTTTGCACTCACTGAACTTCCAAAGCTTTCCCCAAGCACATGGCAGGTTTGGAAGCTGGGATAAATAGAGACATCTTCAAAAGTTGTGAAGTTCTAGAGAAAAATGTAAAGGAAAGCTTCCCAGTATAATTACAGAGCCATCATTAAAAGTAAATCTTACAGGCTCCTATTAAAGATGAAGACTCTAGAGATCATCCAGTTCTGGGTGTCTGTATAGAAAGAAAACCAGATAGAACCATACAGTACTTTCTCTGAAAACAACAAATGTTGAAAGAATGACATAATGTTCCACTTCCAAATGTTCTTGATTTAAATGAGTCATTTAAATGGAAAGGGTTCTTAAAATATCACTTAGCTGTCACGTGGAAGCCACAGAGAGAAGTGATCAGCAAGTAAAATTTAGCAAGAATTATATGAGCCAGAGACATCAATAAGAAACCATTCATCTCAGGTACAACATTAAGGAGGTGAAATCTATCAGAAATGAATGAAGTCAAGCTAGGCCAGAAGAATTAGAGACTTTGAAGTAATGATATAGTGTTCTCGAAGAAAACATATTTAGACAAAGAGAGAGAGCAATTAGAGTGAACAGGATGCTGGAGTCTGTGTTTTTAAAGCATGATAGCAAATAAGTCTCACAGAATGTCAGGTAAGATTATGTCTTATATTACGCTGAATAGATTTGTGCTCAGTGAATTCGATCCCTCTATTCCCCCAAAAGTCATCACAATAGCACACAGGAGAAAACTGACAGGTGTAGATGACTACTAGAAAATTCTTACCATAGGCATAAGTTATTTATGACAGATGGAGACATGTCTGGCCAGAAGTACCAGCCCTTTAAAACTCCATTTCCTGTAGAAAAGAGAAATAATGTGTATTATTGTCCTTTTTCTGTAACTACAAAGTGACTGTTCAGCAACATGCAGAATTGCCATTATAGACACTTCACAATGGATGATTGCTATTGATAAGATTTTCCTTGCTACCATTTTAGACTTTTTTTCTGACTTGTTAGTAATTGCAAATTTCAGTATAGAGATTCATATCTGTATATCAGTTCACACATTACATCAGCATTTGTATTTTATGTACTTTTATATCTGGGTTTTTTATTTGTTTCTTTTGTAATTTTTGTTTCATATATCTAGGAAACAGGCAGTACTCCATCTGGCGTAGGTACTATATAATTTTCTCTTTAAAATGGAATAAAAAAGTGAAAAAATAAAATCAGGGCAGCAACACTGAACTAGACAGGAATTCTAGTTGAAAAAGTATTGCATTCAACTACAGTTGTGAAAAGCACAAGCAGGTGATTGGCTTGTTTCACCAAATGCTATATTTTACCAAATTTTTTTCTGGTGGCCTTATTAAGGTAAAATTCTCTCTCCTTCTGATATGAGAAAAAGCTGTTAACTGCTGGTGTGGGGCTGATCCCTCAGTCACCACTGGTCTCTCCAGGAGTTCAAGGAAGCTGACAGAGCTCTGTGAAGCTGATAGAGACTTTTCGACAGTGAACAAAAACTGCCTTGCTCTCCTCTGTGGCACAGCACTGGCCACTCTGAGTGGCGCTGCCATGACCAGTGTTCTATACCACCTTTAAAAATACTTCCCAGCAAACAGTGAACTGACACATCAAGACTGTGAAAGAAAACCCCTTAAGCATTAAGGAGATGACACTGAAAAATATACCAAATATCTTTCTTTTAAGGCATCAGTTATGCAAATACAACTCTTATACAGAGGAGTTAGAAAAGAGGGCTTCATTTTTCTCTGTAGATATCACAGAATCACAGAATATTCAGAGTTGGAAGGGACCCACAAGAATCGTCAAGTCAAACTCTTAGCCCTACACAGGACCATCCCCAAGAGTCACACTATGTGCTTGAGAGTATCATCCAAACACTTCTTGAACTCTGGCAGGCTTGGTGCTGTGACCACTTCCCTGAGGAGCCTGTTCCAGTGCCCAAACACCCTCTGAGTGAAGAACCTTTTCCTAATATCCAACCTAAACCTGCTCTGACACAACTTCAGGCCATTCCCTTGGGTTCTGTCACTGGTCACCACAGAGGAGAGATCAGTGCCTGCCTCTCTTCTTCCCCTCATGAGGAAGTCGTGACTGCAATGACGTCTCCCCTCAGTCTCCTCTTCTGCAGGCTACAATTTTTTGGTATCATGTTTTAGAGAGGCAGACGTTTGTGGCTTATTCCAATTAATGCACTTGGAGGTTTGAGGTTTTATTTTGCTTTGACTGGTTTTTTGTGGGTTTGTGTTTGGGGATTTTTTTTTTTTGGTTTTGTTTTATTTTGGTGTTTTGGTGGTGGGGGTAGTTTGGGGGTTTGGGTCTTTGTTTGTTTGTTTATTATACAAGTTTTCATGTGTGAGTCTAAGGCAATTGACACAGCACTGAAAATTATACTGGTAGTTCTGTCTCATCCTCCTGAGAGTAGTGAACATACACTCATATACTACCATTTCTGCATGCCCTAGAGGTGACTGTAACCTTTTATTGATCAGCTGATTGAAGAGAAATGACAGAGATGCTGGTACTGCAGTTTACATCATTAACATGGTCAGTAAAGCATGAATTGTTCAATAAGGAGTTTATCTTTTTTCATTTTACTCTGCTTTTATATCATTTTTATGATAGAGAGCAAATTTTCAGACACTAACCGAGCAGATGAACTTTAAAGATCAGATACATCTGTGTGTGGTAATTGTCAGAACTAAATGTTATCTGATAGTTTAAAGATATTTAATAAATGTCTTTCACATGAGGAAAATGAAGTCCAATGATCATTTTTCTTACTATGTTTCTTTTTCAGTTTCCTTTTGCCTCACACTTAATGGATGTCGTACTGGAAAAATTAAATGAGAAGAAGAAACTGGTAGAAGAGTACAGTTCTCTCATGAAGCAAACTCTATGATATTGCTAAGACCTATCTTTGCAAAGTGTGTCCTCTTCACATAAAGAACTGTCAATATGCGTGTTCAATACAGACATAGAAACTATGAACTAACTAATTGTTGAACACGAAGAATTAATTAAATTTCTATTAGGAAGCAGTGTGGTATTTGATTCCTGAAGACAGAAATTGCTTCAAATCAATGCAAAGTTCAAAATTATTTTTCTTTAAATGCATTGGCAGTGAACACTAGTGCAGGCTTTGTAGAGAGAAGATGTCTTTGTTACGACTAATATACATCTGTACAATTTTGAAAGCACAAAATGCACTGAAGTAACACCTGGTTGTACTAATCAGAACAGTAGAAGTAGGATTTACAGTGTCTTGGTGTAAATGCTAATTCACGTAGAAAATACACCTCAAAAGGAGAGAACTCAGCCTGCTACTTTTTTCTCAAAACTTACACATCTTGCTTTACTGGCCCTGCAAATTGCTGTATCTCCTGGGCAACTGGGTATGGCAAGATGTCTTTTCTTGACCCAAGAGTAAACAAGAGCAGTGAATGGTGCAGAACCCAATTATCTACTTCATCTGAAGACAGAGAGCAAAACAAAATCCTTAAACCCACTGAAGCCAGATTTATTCACAGGTGTTCCTGAAGTTATAACACTGCTAGTCTTTCTGAAAACTTTGCTGGAAAGGTTGCCAAATATCTTTCAAGATCTTTCTTAATCTTTTAAAGGTATTTTAATGGTATTTTCATTCAACTTCTCTAATTTGATAAACACAAATGAAAATGAAAATATCAGTCAGCATTTTTTCAGTGAAAAAAACCCCAAACATATAGTTTGAGATATTTTTGTAAGGAGAATAAAAAGGGTGATATTACAAAGAGAACAAATTTTTGCCTTTCACAAGTGTGGAATTCTGTGTGCAATAAACATACTTGTTTTTACTGCTGATTTGATCTTTACTCCACCAGCAGAAGAGATGGTCTCTCAAAAATTTTTATTTCTGTAAAAGGATTAAAATTAATTATTTTGATGTTGTTTTATGAATATTTTAAAAATCCCCTTACACTAGAACCAGGCTCATTACACATGCATGTTACAAATTTCATGAAGAACTGATTCTGGTTTAGGGAGAAGCATTAGCTCAAGGCTTTCAAGATGATATTTCCAAGAAAGCTAAACATGAAATATATTAAATGCAGTGCTGTTTTGAACTAACTGTACCTACGAACAACCAGAAAAGCCACTTAGTCCGTTTTTCTTTTATTAAGGTAGTTTTCTATGCTGGTGCTTCCTGATATGGCCTCTAGATGGCAAACTTTCACAAAAAATGGGCTCAGTGCTGGCTGCCGTGAGCGGCCTGTGCTGGACCCCCACGCAGCCAGGCTGGAACATTTGATTACTGCAGCCCCTGAAGTGCTGTGTCGGACAGACTTGTCCCTCGGGCAGCAATAGCTGATCTCTGTGCTTGTGAAATAGGTTGGCTGTCTACAGCCATTACCATACAGTGCAGTGACACAAGGGTGAGACTCTAAAACAGAACAGCTTTTATACATATATATATGTGTGTCTCTGTGTGTATGTATAAAAGTTGTTCTATACGCACACACACGTGTATGTATGCTCGCATGCATACATGACCATACATACATAGATGTGAAATATACAGCATTGTATAGAGCTTCAAAGTTGTTTAGATGTTCTGACCCTCTCAAAAGAGTCACTGAGGCTCAGGCAGCTGTAAGTGAGGAAGTCTAGGGCATGTGAGCTGGCTGTACAAGGCAGGGATTCCTGAGTCCAGGAGCACGCAAACAGCAGCCCCATGACCTGGATGGCTAGAGCAGCCATGGGGAGAGGAGGGGACATTGCCAGGAGCAACCAAGGGGAATTTAAATGGCTCTAGGGAGTGGGGCTGACCCAGGGCACTGGAAACAGGAGTGGGCAAACAGGGATGTGATACAATAGTGAGGGTGTCATAGCAGTGAAGGTGTCAACAAACAGTTATTTTGCAGAAGGTGTGCTGTGGTTGAAAGAGCCGTGTTGCCAGGTGAAGGAGCTACAGGAGGAAGTGAACAGGCTTTGTAGTATTTGAGCAAATGAGCAAGAGAGAGACTGATTACATTCAGAGATGCTACAGCCTCAAGACTCTCGGGATTCTAGAACCTCCACTGTAGTGGAGAAGCAGGTGGACTTGGAAGCCTACAATGTAAGTAGTTAAGGGAGTTGTTAAAGAGTTGTTAAAGATGGTCAAGAGTTTGTTAAAGATGAAGGATGGGAGATGATCACTGCACATACCAGGAGAAAGGTTCCTCCTCCTCAGAATCTGACAGATGGAACTGGTGCCTTCTAGAACAGGTATGACGCTCCAGCACTAGAAGGCCAGACAGCTGATGAGGTAGCCAAAGGTCCTTCTGGGATAGAGGGGCCTCCTGAAACCACCACCTGTATCCTGCATCAAGACCTTTTCTGTCAAGAGGGAAAGAAGGATAGTTATTATAGGAGACTCCGTACTAAGGAGAACGGAGGGCCTGATATGCAGACCAGATCCAACTCACAGGGAAGTTTGCTGTCTCTCAGAGGCTTGGGTAAGGGACGTTACTAGAAAACTCTCTAGTCCAGTAAGGCCCTATAATTACTGTCAGCTATTGGTTGTTCAAACTGGCAGTGACACGATAACAAAGGGCAATCAAAAGAGACTTCAGGGCCCTGGGACGATTGGTAGAGGGATCAGGAGCACAGGCAGTGATTTCCTAGATCCTTCCAATAACAAGGAATAATATTGATAGGAATAGGCAGATCCATCAGGTCAACGAGTGCCTCTGAGGTTGATGTGATTGGAAAAATTTTGGATTTGTTGCCCATGGGATGATCTACTCAACACCTGGTCTACTGACACCTGACAGGATGCACCTATCTCAGAAAGGAAACAGAGTTCTAGCACAGGAGCCAGCAAGGCTTGTTGACAGAGCTTTAAACTAAATTGGGAGGGGGAAAGGGACAAAACCAGCCTTGCCAGAGATGAGCGATGGGATGCTGTGCCAAAACTCGAGAAAATCAGCACTCATGGGATCCCTCAATCTGCCTCACAAGGTGTTGGCTACAATGTACCACACCTGAAATGTTTCTAGACTAACACACACAGCATAACAAACAAGAGGAGCTTGAAGCTTTGGCCCAGTCCCAGGGATTTGACATCACTGGCATAAGTGAACCCTAATGGGATGAGACTTGTGACTGGAGCTGGATTGTCCTGTTAGATGGGTTTCAAGCTCTTCAGGAGGGATAGGCAGGGCAGAAGAGGTGGAAGAGTGGCACCGTATGTATGGAGCTCACAGTTGGGAATGGCACAGTTGAGAGCCTCTGGGTAAGATCAAGGGGAAAGAAAATAACATGGATGTAACTGTTGGAGTCTGCTATAGACCTCCCAGCCAGGACAATGACACCAAAAATTTATTCTTTGAGGAACTGAGGGACACTTCCAGGTCAAATGCCCTTGTCTTTGTGGGGTACTTCAACTTGCCAGAAATTAATTGGGAGCCTCACAAAGCTAGTACAACCTAGGCCAGAAGATTCCTAAAAAAAATGATTGACAACTTTATGGAACAGGTCCTATGGTCCTTTCCGACAGGTCCTTGCCGACTAGGAAAGATGCTCTCCTTGTCAAGAGAGTAGATATCATGAGTGAAGTGGAGATGGGTGGCTGTCTTGACCACAGTGACCATGAAGTGATCGAGTTTAAAAACTCCATTGATGGAGGAAAAGTGCCAGTAAAACCTCAACTCTGGACATGAGGAGAGCAGACTCCAGGCAGGTGCTGGGGTCCGTCAGTGCTGGTCGCTTTTTAACCATCACCTCCTAAGGGCACAGGAGCAACAATTCCCAAATGTCAGAAGTCAAGCAGGTGAGGCAGAAAGCTGGCTTGGCTAAACAGGAATCTTCTCTTGGACATAAGGCAAGAATGCATGGTGTATGCCCAGTGGAAGCAAGGTCAAGTCA